TGCACTGTATTTTCAAATAAGTTTTCAATTTCTTGCTCTTCCTGTTCTCTTTCTGGCACCCCTATGATTGGAATGTTTAAAGTTGTCCCTAAGGTTCCTAAACCTCTCCTCATTTTTTTGAATTCTTGTTTCTTCATTCTGTTCTGGTTGAATGTTTCTTTCTTCCTTCAGCTCCAAACCATTGCTTTAAGTCCCAGTTTCCTTCCCTTCCCTGTGCATTTTCCTTTATTTCACTTTTTATAGCCTTCATTTTTTCCTGTATTTTGCAACCATACGCAACCATTCCTGTGAGCATACTGATTACCAGTGTTTTGTACTCTGCATCTGATAGGTTAGCTGTCTCCTCCTCACTTAGTTCTATATTTGGAATTTTAATCCGTTCTTTCATTTGGGCCATATTTCTTTGTCCCAGTGCACATGTTATGTTGTAAGAGGTGGAACCTTATGTATTTGCCATGGTGGAGCAATCCACTTCACTGTGTTGTGGCACTGTACATGGAGGCGGGGTCCAAGAGGGAACAATGCAGCTTGCTCAGCTCACTGGGCTCTCTGCAGGCTTTCATTCACTTCCCCTGCTACCCATAAGCATTTCGGCCTTTCTGGTGGTAATTCCCAGGTGGATGGGTTTGTGTACATTCTAGGACCCTGTGGGTCTCTCCAGTATACTCTCCTGTTGGGCTGGGAGTTTATCCCACCACCTCAACCCCCACAGATATTTACATTCATGGGGTTTGAGGCTTTCTTTTCCCATGCTGGAACCCTGGGTGGCGCAGTCTGTCTGGCTCCCCAGTTGTTCCTCCCAGTTTATCTACACACGAATGTGGGACTGCAAGCTGCTGCCTCACCCACTCTGTCCTCCAGCCATCCTCCAGACACCCCACCGCCTTGCCTTGCCACTTGTCCCTTCCACCCAGCTGCCTGTCTCTGACCCTCCTACAAGTCTGGATGAAAGTTTCTTCTTTAACCCCTTGGTTATCAGACTTCCGTACAGTTCAGTTTTCTGGCAGTTCTGGGATTTTTTTTGTTTGTTTTTTTAATTTGTTTTTATCATTTTTTGGTTGTGTGAGGAGGCAAAGTATATCTTCCTACACCTCCATCTTGGCCAGCAGTATAGTTAGTAGGTGTTCACAAACATTCCAAAACAATTAAAGTTGGGACAATTAAAGCTAGTAATCATATTTTTATAGAAACCAAAAGCTTTAATTTCGTAGGGTTCCCTCTGAAGTTAATGTAATTTGACTAGGATCTCCTCCCTGAAAATCTTTGAAAATTTTTGTTATATGAAACAGTACATTTTTATTAACTTTATAAACCCCGATGACAAGTAACCACATTGTTTTCAAGTGATTTTGTATATGAATTGATGTATATTTGCTTTCAGTCTTCATAGTGTCTTTATTACAGTGACCCTAGCAAAGAGTAAATTGGTAAGACATACTCTTGTGCTTACTAATGCTCGTTACAACCATTTTTAAAAATTTTGTTTGTAATTAGTGACCCATTCTGGATTGGAAGGTAATTATTTACCTCATCAAGTCAAATATGGCATTTCTAGAAACCTCAAACCAGAAGCACCATTTAAAATTGTCATTAAGTTCAAAAGATAGGAAATACCCACAATTTACGAAACTATGTATATAATAAATATATGAGTGGCATGGCATCTATTCAAAGTTTGCTTATTATTGCCCAAAAAACCATTTCCATGTGATAATAGTAGAGGTGCTTGCTTATTTGCGCAATTTTTGCCTAAATGTATGCATAAGCCAGAGATAAAAAATCAGTACAGAGCTATACTCTTCCTAATCAGGAATGCATTTAGCAAACAAAGGTATTTTACAAAGGAACCTGTTAGAGAGTTGCCAAGTATATAAGTACTGTCCTTCTGGAATTTTTTCTAACCTTTTTGGACAGAAAGCTTGGCTAAAATTCATTGAATGTGTTCTTCATAAGAGTGTATTGTATTGTACAGTTAGTCATATTGTGTTCTTATGGTAGCATTTCTCAACCCAGGATTCTTGGTTAGCCTTCAAGAAGTTCATACCAAGTTTTGTGTATACATTAATTGGAAAGAGGGTCTACAGCTTTCTAAGATTATCAAAAGAATAATTAAGAAGGGAAACTTCTGGCCAAGATGGAGGCATAGGTAGACACTCCGTGCCTCCTGCACAGCCAAGATAGGGACAACAACAATTTTAGAAACAGAATAACAACCAAAATGACAGGAAATTGAACTGTATGGAGTTAAAATAGACACGTTCATCCAGACTGGTAGGAAGGGCAGAGTTGGACAGCTGGCCATAGAGGGGTCTCAGAACAAAGAGCATTGGGACCAGCGTTAAGGCATCCCGGGCGCTCAAGACCGCAGTGGGTGGACCCTGGGCACACAAGCAGCAGCACTGGCAGACCCCAGCCGAGGGGTAGCAACCGGCAGACCCAGCCAGGCAGCAATTGTGAAGCAAGGCTCTGCACGCAAGGTGGCTGGCTGACCAGGCGGTCCCAGGGTCCCATCTCGGGGAAATAGAGCCTCGGGGCACTGATTGAAAACACTTGTGGGGGTTGAGGCGCAGGCAGAGACTCTCAGCCTCACAAGAGGGGTCGTTGGAAAGACCCATGGGGTACACAAGCTCACCCATACGGGAACTAACACCAGAAAGGCCCAGTTTGCTTGGGGGAAACAGTGGAATGGACTGAAGTCCAATGGAGAGCGGAGCAAGTGCCATTGTTCCCTCTCGGACCCCGCCCCCACATACAGTGTCACAACCCAGTGGCTGGGTTGCCCCACCCTGGTGAACACCTAAGGCTCTCCCCCTCATATGTAACAGGCGTGACAAGACAAAAAAAAATGGCTCAAACAAAAGAACAAAGGAAAGTCCCAGAACAAATACTTTTAAGCGACCGAGGCATAGCCAACCTATCAGATACACAGTTCAAAACACTGGTGATCAGGATGCTCACAGAATTGGTTGAATTTGGTCACAAATTAGATGAAAAAATGAAGGCTACAATAAGTGAAATGAAGAAAAATGCAATAGCGATGGAAAGAAAACTGGGTCTCACATCAATGGAGTGGACCAGAAGGGAGACACAACATACAATCAGAAAAGAATGAAGAAATAAGAATTTAAAAAAATGAGAGGCTTAGGAACCTCCAGGACATCTTTAAATGTTCCAACATCCGAATCACAGGGGTACCAGGAGGACAAGAGGAAGAGCAAAAAGAGGAAAAGTTATTTGAACAAATAATAAAAGAGAACTTCCCCAATCTGGCAAAGAAAATACACTTCTAGGAAGTCCAGGAAGCTCAGAGAGTCCAAAAGAAGTTGGACCCAAGGAAGCACACTCCAAGGCACTTCATAATTACATTAGCCAAGATTAAAATGAAGGAGAATCCTAGAAGCAGCAAGAGATAAGGAGACAGTCACCTACAAAGGAGTTCCCATCAGACTGTCAGCTGATTTCTCAAGAGACCTTACAGGCAAGAAGAGGCTGGAAAGAAGTATTCCAAGTCATGAAAGGCAAGGACCTACAACCAAGATTGCTCTATCCAACAAAGCTTTCATTTAGAATGGAAGGGCAGATAAAGTGCTTCTCAGATAAGGTCAAGTTAAAGGAGTTCATCATCACCAAGCCCTTATTATATGAAATGTTAAAGGGACTTATCTAAGAAAAAGAAGATAAAAAACATGTACAGTAAAATGGCAGCAAACTCACAATTATTAACAACCACACCTGAAACAAAAACAATTTAAGCAAACAACTAGAACAGGAACAGAACCACAGAAATGGAGACCGCATGGAGGGTTAGCAACAGGGAAGTGGGAGGAGAGGCGGGGGAGGTATGGAGAATAAGTAGCATAGATGGTAGGTAGAAAATAGACGGGGGAGGGGGGCAAGAATTGTATGGGAAATGTAGAAGCTAAAGAACTTATGACACATGGACATGAACTAAAGGGGGAATGAGTGGGGGAAGTGAAGGATGAATAATGGGACAACTTTAGTGGCATAATCAATAAAATATATTAAAAATAAATAAAAGGTAATTTTGACCTTGCATAACTGATCCAAGGTATTGTGCTTTTATAGTTTCTGCTCATTTTTTTTAATGCACATGTAATCTTACACATTGTAAATGGTGCCTGATAAATAGTAGCTATTTTCTTCTTCCAGATTGTTATTATGTCAACTGTAACTTCTCATAGCTTTCAGTTTACCTTTCTCTAGGGCTGTTCTTCATAAACTCTGTGGCAGTGTTGCTTCAGATTTACCATTACTGCCCTGGCTGATGGTGTGGCTCCATGGGTTAAGTGGTGGCCTGTGAACCAAAGGGTTGCAGGTTTGATTTCCAGTCAGGAGTGCCTGGGTTGCAGGCTAGGTTCCCAGTAGGGGTCAAGTGAGAGGAGACCGCAAATTGATGTTTCTCTGCCTCTCTTTCTTCCTCCCTCCCCCTCTCTAAAAATAAATAAAATCACCCTGGTTGGTGTTGGTAGGTCAGTGGATTGAGTGCAGGCCTGTGAACCAAAGCATTGCCGGTTCAATTCCCAGTCAGGGCATATGCCTGGGTTGTGGTCCGTGTCCCTGGTAGAGGGTGCACGAGAAGCAACCACACATTGATGTTTCACTCCCCCTCTTTCTCCCTTCCTTCCCCTCCCTCTAAAAATAAATAAAATCTTGAAAAAAAATAAAATCTTGAAAAATATATTTATCATTACATAAGGCACTTTACGTTACAACCCATCAAACTTTCATTGAGAAGCAGTTTTGAAGAAGAACCCCTCCTAAGAACTAATTAGCATAACTGTAAATCTTGTATATTTCATTGCACTTTGATTTAAGTGTTGCTGGTGGTGTAGAAAGTTTTGTTTTTGACTACGCATATTTGAGTTTTAGTTAATACAAGGTTTTACTTTATGTGAAAAACTACTTTAACAAATTAAAAAACATTTGCAGGTATTCTCTCTTGAGGGGAACTCAGCATGGTTTTTATATTATCCCTTTAGGATACAGATGAGTTTATTTTACCAACTGGAGCTAATAAAACCCGGGGCAGATTTGAACTGGCCTTCTTTACTATTGGAGGATGTTGTATGACAGGTGAGTACAATAATTTTTTTTAAGTGTCCTTAATGCAGGTAGTCAGAGACTTAAAACAATTAAAATGTTGCTTTCACGTTTTTTAAAGAATCATTATTTACATTTTTCATTCTTTCCTACTTTATAAAAATGAAAAAGTCAGAAGTACACTTTTTAAATATAAAGATGTATTACTTGCATGAATTGTTACTATGATTTACTAGGGGCTGCATTTGGGGCAGTGAATGGTCTACGGCTAGGATTGAAAGAAACCCAGAACATGGCCTGGTCCAAACCAAGAAATGTACAGTAAGTCTCATGTAATCATCTGATGTAGTCATGCTTGAATATTAACCTCTGCTGTGTTGGATCGATGAGTACAATGTTGAGATTACAGATGTTTAGGGTATTGATATTCTATTTATTGATCAATTTTATTTTTCTTCAAGATAAAAGGAACTAAACAAATCACACTACTGAGGCTTAAGCTTTTAAAAGGAGTGATTTTTGAGTCAGTGTCCCTCAATCAGCTGATGCTACCCCAGCCTAACTTCAGCTACACGTGTTTTGTTTTATTACATATTTTATTTGGTAGGCCTATATAACTTGCTTTTCAAATTGTTGAATTAGCAGTACATTATTTGGATTGTTCAGGGGCATGCAGAACCATAGGACAAGGTAATGAAATAAAAGGCACTAGATATAAGTGATTGCTGGATCTGCATTATTTGACTTGAATGTAGCTTCACTTTCCATTTCTGAAATGGAAAGCTGCCAAAAATTTAAATGAAATTTCTAGAAACGTACAGATAGTTCCAAAGGAATAAGACAGTATTCTAGGAAAATTGATTTGCAGAGTAGAGGAAGTACAACTAAAAAGGTCAGAAAGTGTATATGTGTTATCTTCACCCTACTTAAGAAATATGACCAGTCCCTGTTTATATTTTCCTAATATATTGTTTAATTTTGCATGTTTTTATATTTTATATGAGTGGAATCACAGTATATATTTTTCAGTGGCTCTTGGTTTTGTATTAGGACACTTTAAATTCCATCTTCATTATTTGTTTAGCCAGCAGATGGCAGCAGGTATCTGCTAGAATTAGACCTTGGGAATCCTGAAGGCAAGTCAGTTTTTTCATAGTCCTATTACTCTGTGGATCATTGCCCTTGTTTAACTAGCCCAGATCCTTGAATGTTTTTATATTTATATTCTTAATATTTGTCCCTTACACCAATAATTTTTTCTTTTTGAATTATGGAGAATTTGGAACATATACAAAAATAGAATAGTACAGTGAACACCCGTGAACCATAACCTGTCCTCAACAACCGTCAACCAAGACTAATTATGTCCCATCTCTTTCTTGCCTTCCATATTGTTAATGAAACATATCCCCAGTGTTAAGCATCAGTTTGAAGGCAGGGCGTCTCCTAGAAAAGATAGCTTTTGTTTGTTTGTTTGTTTGTTTGTTTGTTTTAAGATTTTATTTCTTTTTAGGCAGAGGAAGGGAGGGAGAAAAACATCAGTTGCCTCTCACACACCCACACACCCCCAACTAGGGACCTGGCAGGCAGTCCAGGCATGTGCCCCATTCAGGAGTCCTGGGAACTGTGACTGTGATCAGTTTGCAAGACAATACCCAGCCCACTGAGCCACACCAATCAGAGTGTCACTCTTTTGTTTTGTAAAACAGTAATAGTAACTTTTTATAGGGAGATGAATTAGTTTGCATTTTTCAAAAATATTATACACCATTTTTTATATAATCATCCTTCTCTTCCTAAATAGGAATACAGCATTTAAAAATGGAAAGAAGGGAAGGTTTCAGGTTAGATGGATCTATGTAGCTTCAAAGTCTTGTTTTATTACTTACTATTTCGCCATCTTAGGTAAGGCTTAGGCTGTCTATATTTTATGCCTTTAAGGCTTAATAAGACAGATGATTCAAGTGAGAAGTAGGTAAAGGCCAAATAAATGGAGGTATGCCTAATTGTGTCCCAAAGAATTTTGCCAATTTGCAGTGCTGTTGATAAACAGTACAGTGGTGAAAATTCATAGTTTTAAAAACTTGTGACAAGTGTGAAAGCAGTATGTTAAACTTAAAATATAATAGTAAATACAATATTAGTAAATAATTAATTAGAAACAATATACTCTCCAAAACAATATTTTAGGAGTAATACAAATTTTTATTATTAAGCATTAAATTTTAAGTTCTTTGTCTGTTTGTTGCTGTAATCCTGTAATCTCCAGCAGTAGTCAGCTGTCCAGGCAGAATCATTACTGTGATGGTGTTACATTGCTGGAAGAGGAATGTCCCCTCTTCTTCTTCCAGTTGCCTCTGTCACTGTTCTGGTGGCAGGTGGCACTGGTACAAGGCAGAACTGAGTTTCCCTCACATGCATTCTGGTTTGCTTTTTCCTTTGAGTATTTTTAATTCTGCTTTATCTTCTATAATATTCCATGCTTTGATTTTATGTAATATTCTAAATATATCCTCCCCCCCCCCAAAAAAAAAAAAACAACTTCTAAGCTAGTTTGTTCATTATAATGGCATTTTTTATACAGATCAGTTTCTGTAAAATTCTTTATAAAATAAATTTCAGGCTGTCATTGAAAGCCTTTTTGTGTTTGTTATATATTTTATGAGAAATTTCCTCACTGGTTGCTCAAAAAGGTTGGAGGTTTTAACCTACCTTCATTTATATTTCTATAAAGTGAAAGTCATCCTTATTGAATTCTAAGGAGGTACTAAGTTTTTTAATGAAGAAAACTAGGAATTGAGTTTATAGTTTTTAAATAGCTGCAAGTATGTTTTTTTAAATTACTAGAGAAATAATTATTCTAAATAGAGATTCTTTGTCTTTCTGCCCTTGTAGAATTTTGAACATGGTGACCAGGCAAGGGGCACTTTGGGCTAATACTCTAGGTTCTTTGGGTAAGTAGAGATTTCACTTGATAATAAATTATTGATGCAAAGAACGAATATACACATAACATGAACAATTTGATCAACCAAAATTTTTAAAATCCTTGTATATTAAAAATTGTTTAAATCCACTCTTGTCGGCAGTATAGCTACTACTTAGAAAAGACCAGAAACTACATAAAATAAACCTAGGTGCTAATACTATCTTGTATATCATTTCTGAATGTTTTAAATCTTTTAAAACCCTAATAAAGTCACGTTTTAACAAAAATGAAATCCAGATAATTTAGGTCCGAGGCAAATGGTTCAGATCCTGTAGTTAAATATGATAGGTGAATCAAGCCCTCTTGCTCTGTTTTCTAAGGCTGGTTCAGCATTCTTTTTACCTGAGTAGATTTCCCAGACTTAATTGCCACAGTTGCATTAGGGGCTTTGTCAAGGTGATGAAAGCATTTGCAGTTTTATTTTGTTTTTTTGTTTGTTGGTTTGTTTGTTTTTAAGCATTTGCAGTTCTAGGCAGGGGGAAGTTTAATAATACTTAGACCCCAGCGCTTTCAATATGATTGACTCTTTACTCGTGACTTCAAATAAACCTACCTATTTGTGGCACTTATGCCCTAACTTCCACAGTTTTCTTCATAACTTAGTTGAAAGCCTGAAAAACTTTTAAATATGGCAGATTAAGTAAGGGAAAAATGTAGGCATCTATTGAAAGATAGAAAAGGCCTTTGTTGACACAGTAATATCCTAGTCTTGTTATAAATTTGAAAATACCCATTATTTTTTGGACTGTAAGACGCGCCCCCACCCCCCCCCCCACACACACATTTGGGAGGAAATGGGGTGCATCTTATAGTCTGAGTGTAGTTTTACATTTACATTTGTGAGATATTGTTATTTATGTTAATAAGTATTTTACCACATTTTTTTTGCTTCAAAAATTTTTTTCCTAATTTCCTCTAAAACCTAGATGCATCTTATGGTCCGAAAAATGCAGTAGTACATTTTCACACTATGAAGCACAGTTGAAGTACAGCTCGTATTTGGAATCCTAATAAATGGCAGCTTCCAAATGTTGCCTATTTCCTCATTGCCCCCATCCTCCACGCACAGCCACCCTCCTTTGCTCTGTTTGATTGTTTGTATACCTAGAGTAATCATCCATTGTGTTCTACCCGGAACTTTCTTAGTTTTAGCACTGAAGGTCCCATGTACCAGGAAACCCTCAGTCTTGGACACATTGGGATGGCCAGTCACACCATGTGTTCCCTTTGTAATATGATTTATCACAATGTCCTGCTCAAGTTCAATTTCAGTTAAAAATATTGAAACAGGAAGAAAATCCTCTATGAAACTCTAAAAACTCAGTATTTGTAAGGCTGATCTTGGTATAATGTTGAAGAATCAAATGTGGCAATTTTGATAACAGGTAAGGAAAAGGATTAATGCAGCAATTTTCAACCAGTATGCCACAAAAAATTTTAAAGCTTTGTAATACTTGACTATTTAGTCAAGAGCACTGACCTCTTTTCGCTTAGATTGTCGAATTTAAAAATGATAGCCAACAACACAACAGTAGCTGTCTGGTGTGAATGAATCAAAATTATACTTTTTTTTGGTCAGGTCAGTAAAAAGTATATTTTTTGGTGTGCTGCAGAATTTTAGTACTCGTTTATGTGTACCATGAGATGAAAAAGGTTGAAAATCACTAGATTAATGCATTCATGGATAATAGAAATCTTTAGAGGCATAGGGAGGTGGAAGATCTTGTTAAAACTAAATAGTAGTAGTTTCATAGTTTTTACACATTCAGCAACCAAACTTCACTTTTTTTAGCTATATTTTTTATAATAGAAATACATGTCGTTTTTGTTTCTAAATCCAAAGTATAATTATTATAAATAAAATACAAGTGAAAATTAAAAGTATTCTTCCTGGGACTCCTCAGTGGTACTTTTCATTAATAGCTACTATTAATATTTCTTCTGAATCTTTCCAAACATCATCTTTGCTTATTCAGAGTCATAATCATGTGCCTGCTTTACATATTAGTGAATATAGTTCATCCTCCTTTTTGATTTAAGTGAGTATATGTACTATTCCATTTTGATCACTCTTTATATATATATACCTTGGAATACTTGTATGATGATGTCTGTAGGATATATTTATCTAAATACAATTTCCACACTGACTTGCGATCGCTTTTTTATTACTACTGATCAGTTCTATTTCCCCTATAGCTTTGCTTTATAGTGCATTTGGTGTCATCATTGAGAAAACACGAGGTGCAGAAGATGACCTCAATACAGTAGCAGCTGGAACCATGACGGGCATGTTGTATAAATGTACAGGTAGGAAATAGTGAATAGAGAGCTGTCTCTTTGTACAGCTGAAGTGTACTTTTTATTCATAGTTTGCAAAAAAAAAACTTGATACTTTTTTTTTCCCCAGTATCACCTAGTGTTCTCAGAAACCCAGTGATTGTTTTGTGGTTTTTGTTTGTATGTTTGTTTTTTAGTTTTGGTAAAATACATATAACGTAAAATTGACCATCTACACCATATTTTAAGTATACAGTTCAGTAATGTTATATTTACACTGTTGTGCAACCTGTCTCCACAACTTCGTTTTGCAAACCTGAAACTCAACTCATTAAACAATTCCCCATTTCTCCCTTCAGCCCCTGGGAGCCACCATTTTGCTTTGTATCTGAGATTGACTACTTTAGGTACCTCCTGTAAGTAGAATCATGCAGTATTTATCCTTTTGTGACTGGCTTATTTCATTTAATACAGGGCCCTCAAGTTTCTTTTTTTTTTTTTTTTTAATGTGGTGTCACGATTCTTTCCTTTCTAAGGCCAAATAGTACTCTATCATACATATATGCCACATTTTGTTTATCCATTCATCTCTCAATGGACACTTGGGTTGCTTCCACCTTTGGCTGCTTTAAATAATACTGTTACAAATGAACATTGATAAACTAAATACCATTTAATTTTGAAAAATAAAGCCCTAAGAGTTGAACCAGAATGGTCTGGGTGAAGATCAAAACCAAATTCTCCTCTAAAATAGAATTAACATTTACTGAATTATGAGTATACTCTCAGTAATAAATAATTATTTGTTTCATTTAAAACACCATGAAGTGATAATCACACCCCAATTTTATAGATGAGCACAGTATTAAGATGACATTTTTCAAAATGTCATATAAGCAATGACAGCTCCAAATTTTTCATCACATTTTAGTTTTAAATAGTTTAATTAAACTGCATAAGTCCTGTTGTACTCCTGCCTCTGAAAAGCACTTTTATTTGCTTGATTGCTTTCTTATTAGACACTTGATTGACTGTGTCTAATAAGAAATACTAACAAATAATTCTGTTTTTTTTTTCCTGGGGGGGGGGTTTGGTAGGAATTCCTCTATCATATATGTTAGACATTTTTGCTTAATTTTTACTAGAAACAAAAAAAAGTCACATGATTATAGAATCCAAGTTTTCCTAATAACATAGAGTGAGAGGCTTTTCTATATTGAAAATAAATTACTTTTGAAATTTTATCCCTAACAGCTCACAAAACTTATTGCAACATTTATGGATATGTTGACACAACAAACAGAGCTTGCAGGTAGAATATGTCCATGAAATGTGTTGGCATCAAAAAGTCTTGTTAAAAACTTAAAAATACTTTTCACATTGAAAATCTGTAGAATCAGACAAAAGAATTTTAAGTTTTAATTGGCAGCACAAAGGTGACACTCAAACAGCAAGGATTAGTTGGCCCTTTTTTTTTTTTTTTCAGATTTTTTTTTTTTTTTATAAGAAACAAATTTGTGTGAAATAAATAGGCTGCCTCTTGCTCACCCCGTACTGGGAGCTCACTGACTTAACCAGGAATCAAACCAGCAACTTTTCACTCAGTGGGGCAACACTCAACCAACTGAGCCACAATGGTCAGAGCGGCCCAAACTATATTTTAAATGACAATCTAATTTTTAAAAAACATCAGATTTCACAAAATTCTGGAATTACAGCTTCTTTTGAATAAGTGGAATACACCAAGTTCCATTGCATGGTGTCAAATGACCGGAGCAGAGTGGGCAGCTGCTTCTACCCCAGTGGATGAGCACTGAAGCTCCATCTGGGTCTCCACCGTTCCCTATTTTCTTACTCCCTGTAAGCCATTATGGCATTTCCTGTGTTAAGGGCAGTTCTGAGTATAAGAATGCAAGTTACCATCTAAGACATTATGCATATTTAAAAGCTAGGAAAGGCTAAATATTGATACTATCAAAAGACATGGGATCCTTGCTTTCTGTGTCAAGAACTTCCTTGCAGTGATAGCTTGGGTTAGCTTCAACTTATAAATTATAAATTATATAAGAGAATGCCCTTGGTTCAGAAGAGAAAAGGATTATCCATTAACTCTGTCAGGTGATAAGCTGATTGCAGTTTCCATTAAGTTGTGAAACATAGAGGAAGTAAATAATCTGCTGAACCACAATCCAGCCATTACTTCATAGTTCCTGGCTCAGAACATCAAAGTCACTCTAAAATCAGAAGCAAATTGGAGTCTTGTTGATTTCTGGCTTGGGATAAACTTAAGAAGACAAAGCACAGAATTATGAATTTGACATGAATACAAAATGTAATTTCAACTTTCAGATATGGAAGAGTTCGGGCACTTAGCCTAGAGCCACCATAAACTGTTAAGGAAAGAATTTTACATTAGACCTGGCTGGTATGACTCAGTGTATTGAACACCAGCCTGTGAACTGAAAAGGTCACAGGTTCGATTTCCAGTCTGGGCACATGCCTGGGTTGCAGGCCAGGGCCCAGCCCCCGTGGGGGTTTGCAAGATGCAACCAAGTGGTGTTTCTCTCACACATCGGTGTTTTTCTTCTCCCTGTCTTTCTCCCTTCTCCTCTCTCTCTGAAAATAAATCTTTTTAAGAATTTTACATTTAGGGAATGGCTAATTCCTACTGACCTAAAATATTTCCAATCCCCAGTGTGCTCTTTAAAACCAGAAATTTTAAAAAAGGAAAGGGTTTAGAATGAAAGCATTATGATTTAATGTAGACACTTTAGTACAAAAGTATACTTTCCAGCTGCTCAGTAGAAAGAGAAATTATGAGGGAAAATACCACATGAGAAAATGTGTTGTCAGAACAAAAAGAGGCTAAAAGTTTTCTTTTTTTTTAAGTACTAGTTCTGATATGATTTTAGTTTAGGCCTAATGCTTACTTAATGAACTAGGTAAATATTCCCCAGAAGGCATGAGATGTCATTGTTAGATTTCCTGTAGCATATGAAAATCTGTTTAATAATGGCTAGTATTTTACCAGAACAAGAACGGTTATAGTTTTGTTATCATCCATAAATTTAGGAATGTTTAAGACACCTGGTCACTTACCTTCAGAAAATAAAGCCTCAAACCAAGACATGGGCTCCGCTTTCCACTCACAAAAAGTCCCTGATCTGTTAATCCTATTCCTTCCATAAGAAAGTCATCTTAATAAAAGCAAACTAAGTAAAAGTAAAAAGATATACAAATCTAAGTTATCAATTTAAGCAATTGTCATTGGTGTTATTGTTAATAGGCAGTATTTATCCATGAATGCAAGGCTTTCAAAATTAAATTCTGTATGTAAAAAGGAGCCTTTTGATGACTTCTTTATTGCTATTACTAGCATCAACATTCTTCCAGTAAATAAAAATACATATAACATATAAATTAGGCAGACAGCTGTCATAATATGTAAAACATATCAACAAATCACTTAAACTGACAACCCACTAAAAAATGAAGTAAGGATATGACAAAACACTTCAGGAAAAAAATACAAATGGTTGCTAAACAATAGAAGTTACTCAGTTTCATGGGCAACCAGGGAAAAGCAAAATAAGACATGAAGATAATATTTTTCACCAACTAGCTTAAGTAAGGTGATGGTAGATAACATTTAATATTGGCAAAAGATAAGCAAGTGCCTTGAAGGGCAATTTGGCATTCATTATTAATATTTGAAATATGTAAATTATTTGCTCAAGTAATCTCTAACATTCAGCCGTTTATTCTGAATCAGACTAAGGCATACATGCAAAACTGTACCAAGGCATTTGAGACTGGCTTCAAGGAGAAGGTGATATTTGAACAAACACCAACAGATGAGGGCACATGTGATATGGATCTGGAGGGGGTGATTTAGATAGATAAGGATAATAGCACAATCAAAAGCCCTGAAGTGGGAATTCAAAGGCATTAGGAATAGTAGTAGAATCTGGAGCCAAAAAAACTTGGAAGGAACTAAACCATGGAAAAGATAGAGCTTCATAGGCCACAGTAAAGAATTTGGCTTAACTGGGCATCAGTTAATCTTACCTCCTAAGTACTAGCATTTCTACTTATTTATAAGCCTTATATTGTGTATTGTAACTTCCAAAGAATTAAACTTTCACCCTTCTCCTGAGTACAAAGTTTATATCAGCAGTGTTCACTAAGGGTTGAAAAACCCTCTAGAACTTCTGTAAGATTCTCAAAGAGGGCCTGAGATACTTCCTATCACCCACAGAAAACCCCCCACCAAAAAGACTAAGGATCTGGTGAAAAATAGTTCTAAAATGACACAGTAATGTGGGAAGTCAAAAACAACAGATAGTATTTTAGTGTGTTTAGTCTTGCATGGAAGAACTGGGATTGCAAGGAAGAAATGGATGGGACTGTGGTGAGGGAAGCACAGCAAAGTTAGCCACCATGCTGTTCAAAGTCACACATTGCTTCCACTCTAACAAAGAAAAAACAAGCAGGAAACAGCCTTCTAGTGACCCAGTCACCTTCAATTTTTACCTTTCTGTCACCATCCCCTCATTTCATCCATTGTGAAGTTTACCACCTATTCCTTGAGGCCCTTATCACAAAACCTGAACTTCTCTAGCAGTATTTGTCATTGATCATTTTGACTTTAGGCTTCTTCCTCGATTCCATCTTAGCTGCTCACTATATCTGGCTTAATCTTTCTCAAGGAAGGTTGTAATTCTAATATTCCCTGTCCAAAAACCTTTGATGGCGACACATTGCCTTTCAACCTAAATTTAAACTTCTTTTTCACCCTAGTCTTCCATGCTCTGGTCCTAACCTATCTTTCCAAACATTTCTCCCATACCTTCCTTGTACATATCATATGACCAAATAGATAAATTTGAAATCCAGTCCATCCTTAAGGCCCAGCTCAACTTATTACTCCTTTCAAGATATTTGATTGTTCCTTTCTCTCTATGTGGTGAAAAAGACAATGGGCTTTGGAATCACACTGGTTTGCCCAGCAGTAAACATCTGTGTGAACAAGACAGTAACTTGTCTGAATTTCAGTTTCTTTGTTTATACAACAAAAGTGACCTCTCTTCTCTTCATTGACACATAAATGAGGAGGCCAGTTACTTCCTTTCTGCTGCAAGCACATTTGTACAATTTAAGACTTAACAGTTTTCATAGTAGGGAGTCAAAAGACAATCTCTACCATTGAAAATCAAGAAATAGCAAGATAATCATGTTCTTTAGAGTCATGAAGGTAAAGAACAAAGAATAGGGAACTGGGAATTAGGGTGAGGATGGGGAGCACACCAGACTGTTGTGCATCACAAAAATCTTTCAGTACTATCTTTGACAATTATGTCTTGGACTACTTTGATAAAAGTAAAAAAGTGAGTAATATTTATCAACATAATAAAACTTAAATTGGGCATTAGCCTGGGAGGAGGAGTGGGGAGATACTGTTTAACAGGTGCAGAGTTTCCGTTTTGGAAGATGAAGGTTCTCTGGAGATTGATGGTGATGATGGTAACTCAGTAGTGCCAATGTACTTAATGCTAATGATCTGCACACTTAAAATGTTAAATATCATGTTATGTGTATTTTACCATACTTTTCAAAAATAATAAATTTAACAAAAATTTAAGTTCAGTAGTCATCTCAGTGTGTAGGTTAGGCTGTTACTCTAAAGCAGGAGCCACCAGTTCCTGTTTGCCAGATGTCTGTTCCCTGTGTTTTACATTTTTTTAAGTTAACATTTTAAAACTTACGTAAATGTTTTATAATAACCTTTGATCTGTCAAAGCCTAAAATACTTATTTTCTGGCCATTTTAAGAAAAATTGCCAATTCCTGCTCTAAAGAATGTCAGATTGTGCAAGCTCTGCCACTAATCTACTCTCTGCCTCACAAAAGGTATTTAGATAATTTGGACCTCATTTCCCCAAGCTTAAAAGAGGTAATATTTTCCCTTTCAAGGAGTGTGTAAGGATCCAAAAGATAGAAAGTAAAACTGTGAAACACAGGTCTCGTGTTTGTTGTGCTTTGCGGAGACTGACCGTTGGCCTTATTTGATTATTCTGTGTGCAAAGCAAGCTGATTTGCTAATCAGCTTCCTGTGCTTAGTTGGGCAGAAGTTGTTGGTGTACAGAAAGCCTAAAGCCAAGGTCCTTAAATATTTAACAGATAACCAGGTAGAAAACTCTGAAATTAGTAGTAAGAGTTAAAAATAAAACTAAAACATGGTTGGTATGTGATAAAAAGCTATCCATGAGTCAGGATTAACGGTACTTAGTAAAACACTGCGTATTTTTTATGTCTTATTGGAAATAACTTTTTTCTAGTCTTCAAAGAAGTAACTTAATTGATTTGAACTGTTTCATTTTGGTCAAAGTATCTGAAAGCCTTATTGTTCCCCCGGGGTAGGGTGGGGGGTGCTTATTTGATTGCTGAAAACTATTATGAAAATCCTTCCAAAAGGGCCAACTGGCAGTAACAGTTTGGCTATTTCCAAACCAGTAGGTAGACTTCAGAGCCCTATGGTTCTTAATTTATTCAAGGTCCAGGGCAATAAGTCTAAATGTTTTGTCCCAGGAAATAGTATCTGCAATTTAGTGTTTTCAGTTACATGCCTTCCATCATTTTTCAAATAATAAACAGCAGTGAGGCCATCTTAACTTTTGATTTGGGTTGAATCAGAACAGATTAGAGTATTAAATTTTTATAATTTGTTTGCTTATTACACTCAAAAAGTTTAGATCTATTAACTGAGTCATAGTGATGTTGCTGCAGGTAGCTTAGCATTTATTCTGCACTTTGTAGTTTTTTTTTCCATTTTAAGAATTAGGTCTAATTATAGTTCATTATCTTTTTTATTGACCTGACAGGTCAGAAATACGAGGTAGGTCCTTACTAAACTGAACTAATTGTTTTAAATTATATTTCAGACACATCGAATACAGTTGCAAATTCAACTGTAATGTCTAGTCGTAACTAAAGCAAGATATACAGAGATCTGGACTTCAAGGAGACACCTCCTATTTAAATGTTTTTGATGTCTCCGATCCCCCACACACACACATATTTGACATCTATTTTAGAGATGATGTAAGCAGTTTCTGTATGGATCTGTTTGAGCGAGATAAGTAAGGCATTTCATAGTAGAAACCTAAGCAGGTTAGCTATCAGAACTCCAGACTTCAGAAGCTCTTGGAAGGAGTAGACCTTTAATCTGTTAGCTAGAGCCATCTGGCAGGATGTCATTGCAGAAATGATTGGCTTGAAGTAAACTGGGCAACATCACTGAATTTCACAGAATTTAATGTCTCCTACTTCTCATAAGGTAATTACTAGGCCACAGCTGCATTCCCTTTGCTTTCCTAAAACAACTTAAAACAAATACTCCATAGGTAAAATATAGGCTACCTGAAGTTTATGGTCCCCACCTGTTTGTGAAACTCATATTCTCTTAAAAGTTTGAGTAAATTTCTTAGTAGATGTGGGTACTTACTTCAGTTAATTGGTTGAGTTTTGTTTCTGCATTTTAAACAAAACATTTAGTTAATCCTTAAGTGTTTTTCAACTAGTGCAATGATGCCAAGAGCCTCACTGCTCAGTATTTGTAATAGAATATTGTCCGACACATCAGTGTTGGAATGAGGGACAGGGAAGTTGGTACTTCTTCTTCAGCACCTAACTCAAAGCTTTGTTATAATCATCTTACCACCTCTACTTCAGTCTTCCAAGTTAGTATTTTGACGCCTGTAGAGTCCAAAGGTTAATGCCATTTCCATAGAGGGTATGGCCTTGTTTATATATCACTTTAAGTCACTTGATAGTGCCAATGAAGTCTAAACTGTTTTGACTAGCAGGAAATTACTGATCTGGCTGGTAATGCAATGGTAATAAGCCTAAGATCTTTTATAAAAAGTATTAAGAACAAGTCTGATTGAAAAAAGCCAAACTGTTAATGCTGATAATTTTAGGTATAAATTGTGACATTAAAAGTGAAAAGATTTTATTAAAATACGAAATATAGCATGTATATTAAACAAGTCATTTAGGGACTTTGTCTCCTGATTGGTTTCTTTTAAAACTTTTACTCTCCTGTTTGGGACAGTATTTATAAACATAAATGGTTATGTCTCAATTCTATAATACTCTTGTTTAATCCATTGATGTTAGGACACTATGCAATACAAATATTATTTTTCTCTCTCTCAGGTGGTCTTCGAGGGGTAGCACGAGGTGGTCTAGCAGGACTAACACTTACTAGCCTCTATGCACTATATAATAACTGGGAGCACATGAAAGGCTCCTTGCTCCAACAGTCACTCTGAAGATTTTGCCAACCTGCAAATGGAGGACACTTTAGTCGTTATCCAGATCAATTTATGAGTTAGTGTAGAGTTCTCTTATACCTACAATTAGGTTGAAAAATTGTGCAGATACCAATTTGCTGTGATGAAGATTGTTGACCAGACTGGCTGTCCTTCCAGCCATTAATGAATTGAAGCCAAAACCCTTTGGTGGCTGAGTAGTAACATGGTTATCTCTGAAGATCTTGGACCTGTTCTCTTTCCTACCTGCTGAACGGAAACCTACTTACTCTCATCATTCAGTTTGTTCAATACCATATCACCACATTTGTTCATTCAATGATCAAAAACTGTAATGTTGTCCTGCGTTCCCAATAAAGGGTGAAAACAGAACTGAAGTCCACTCCAGTGTAAACATAATGGGTGTCTCTATTTAAAAACATCTTTCTGGGTTTAAAGTGAAATTTATTCTTCGCATTTTTTTCTACCCCAGCTAGGCTAAAAACATGTTTTCACATTTGTGTTGAAATGAAGGGTTACTGGTGGCAGTAATAGCTAGGGTAAGATTTTCCTCCTACAGAGTTGACTCTAAACCTCAAGATAGTTCAAACATACCACTGGAATAACTTGCCAGAATAATCTGCCTGGCAGTCATGCTTAAATCTGTGTGGATTAGCCCCCTTACTGGGGATAATTAGAAAAAAAAGATGAAATATACACAAGAGCTTTTAAGTTTTCAAGTGGGAAGGCCAAAGGAAATATGGGCAAGTTTCTTTTGTCCTCTAATAAAAAGTAAAATTGCACTGCAGGTTATACATACACATAATAAATGCTAAACAACTGGCAGTTATGATTGGAAAAAGTAGGGCCTTTTGGACACATCTAGTAAGGGATTTCACAGAAAAGCTCTGAATTTAGCAGATTAAAAGGAATCGATATGATGAGTTTGCAGGAAGAAACTGGGAATGGAAGTTAGTGGCAATGTACCTGTTCTTGCTAACTGAAGATTCATAAAATTCATTGGTATTTTATGGAATATAAAATTTATGTTATCAGCTGTACTACTAACCAAAGATTATCACATTTACATAACATGATAGAATATTTTGTTACAAGGTACTTATACAAAATACAACTGTTTGTTAATGCTTTTAATGGGGAGGTACAAAATGCATAATGTAAAAGACATATACTCATTAGCATAGTGATTAATGTAAAGTTAGGAATACACACTGTTAAACCTCAAAAACTACAAAGTGTTCTGCGACCTAAAATAATGGAAAGGCTAAGTTTTTACCCATCACCTTTATTAAAGTTCTAAATTATGTTGGGGGACGGGGAACTAAAAATAATGGTTTTTTTTCAGCTGTGGTTCAAGAATTCCAGTGAAGCTGTAGGGCAAATGACACTCGAACTGTTTAATTTCTCCAAAAGGGCTTTCTGGATGACTATCACAAACTGAAAGTATTTCCAATACCACATACCAAGGCAAGTTCAGTGGCTTAATAAATTTAAAGGCCTGATGGAAAGCAGTTAATACCATTTCTCTCCTACAGAGAAACTTTTTAAAGTATGAACATTACTTTGAGCATCTTGAGAAAATACCAGCTTTCATAAAGCTTCAATAAACAATAAACACCCCAAGGCACAAGTGTTCAAAACAGCCTGTTCTCTAAATGTCTCTGCATTTTGTTTTTAGAGGTAAAAGTACACTGTACTTGCAGTAAAAGGGCATTTAATTTAACCCCAGTTAAAAGCACCAGGTAGGTATTGAGCTCAACATCCATTTTACACAGGACGTACCAATAACCAACCCTTAGGATAATGAATAGTTCAAGTGCTACATTTCCAGCATGTCCTGTCTTTTGCTTTTTGATTAGTGGGTGTGGGGACTCTTGCCTGTGTTTCTTCAGAATATTTCTAGACATTCGGATTATCCAGGATGTTGTCTTGAAGCAATTCAGAGCCTTTCTAAAAGAGCTCACTGGATACAACATTTAGAGAAGGAAATAAGGACAAAATTTGCAGTAACTAAATTTCTTCCAAAAGAAAATACTGTAGAATCTGATGTGTCTTTTGTAATTGTCAAAAATTGCCAAGATGCTGATACCTATTTTGGTTAAAAAAATCACTATATTCTCAGTTAATTCTTTATATGAAATATTATATTAACTAGAAATTATTTCCACCACTAATGGAAGAAAACCCACAGCAAAGGAAGCATCTAAAAAGGGTAATCAAAAGGTTAAAGAAGTTCACTAGCTTCTTTGATGAACACCTTAACAGAACTATTTCTTTTTTAAAACTACAGTGTTTTTAATGTACTAGTAACAACCCAATATAAGGAGCCATGGAAGCTTATGAAAGAAATATCCACCAAAATGCTGCATTTCTAGTGTAAGAGTGAATTAATTCTTTGTAAGAAGGAACTGAATCACGTCAGCCATCAAAAAATAGCCTTTTTCTTTTACACAGTAACTCATAATTTGATGACTTATTTTTCTTCATTAGTTGAAAATTAGTCAAGAAAGGAACTAAGCTGATTGGTCACACCCAGAAACAATGATTTGGCAAGCTGCAGTCACTCGGCTTATGAAGTGTGAGAATTTGCAGGAAAGTTGCTTGACTCTAGTACTCCATTCCTTCACATCTGTAAAGAAAAGCCCACAGATAAAAAGTCACTCACTGTAGGATAAAAACATTTCTCCCCAACTTAAAGTGCTGGCTCATTCATTTTTGAGTAAGCTATTAGAATCCATACAGGCTCTAAAAAATGCCCCTGAAACAACTAACTATACCTTGAAAGGTCACATTCAGATATGTCCTAATTGTTTCATTAAGCAAATTCAGGTGAAATAACATGAAATTTTAGGATTTTTCTCTCCCACCCTTACCTAATATTCATTCCATTAAAATGACTGTGGTTAAATGGGCAACGTATGAATTTACATATGACAAAACATTTATAACCAGTAAAGTCTGTAATATTTATACTAGTGGCATGTACCCACCTGTAGAGGAGTTCGATACAACCACTTTTCTTTATCAACTTTAAGCTGCATACAGGCAAAGAGATCACAAACTGCTGGGAAGCCGTAACAGTCTGGGGGAAAGTTATGTTCCTCCTGTTGGGGTGAATTAAGCAATACTTCCTGCAAGAAGATGGAAAAGGTGAGCTGCTACAAATAATCTTCCCAATAATATAGTATCTATGAAGAATAATGTAAATCTTGGGCATTCTCTCTAATAAGAGCAGAGGTGACAATTGCTTCCCCTGCCCCTAAATCTCTTCCATAATTAGCAATAAAAATAGGCTGGGGTTTTATTGCACCCAACCCCGGCCCCACCGGATGGGGGCTGGAAACTGAGAAAGTGCACAAAAACTTCGACCTAAACAATAAATTCTCCATTCTGTTGCTAACATGGCACTAAAATTAATACTTAAGCCAATTACAATAGTTAACATGTTTTTAAGGATCTGGGCCATTTGCAAGGTTTGGGATTAAGAAAGTAAAAATCTATTAACTGTATTTCAAATGTTGCTATTTTGATGTCTGTGCTCACCTTGGCCTTCTTTCGAAGCAGCCACTTATGTTCTGAGGAAAACTGGCTGAGATTTCCTGTCTTCTTTGCTGGCAAGACCCAGTCAGCTGCATTAAAGGGGCACCAGGAAGAGGCCACAGGGCTGGTAAGCTTTTGTTTGCCAGCTTGGTCCTCAGTAGTAGGCACTTCCTTGAGGTATCCTTTGCATGAGGGTGTGATAAGCCATTCTGACAAGGGACTATTTCTTATCACTTTGATGGAATCAGCAATTCTAGAAGGAGCCATTGCTTTTGGTATCTTAGCTTGTTCTGTTGCCTCTTTTCTAGAAGGACAAAGCCACATACTTAGGGAATCTATACATTTCTCAGATTCAGATTTTGGTTCCACAGGCATACCATTTTTATCCTTTCCTTCTTTCTCCAGCAGCCATTTACAAAGAGCTTCCCTCTCACAATTTTCATCACACACACATTCTGCAAAGCTTGTACAGGGCTCATTGGCTTTGCAGACCTCCTCTACTTTATATGGCTCATGATGGTTCTGGACAAGCCAATCTTCAATAATCATGCTGGGAATAGGCAAGGGTTTCTTGGCCTCCGTGTGGTCATTCAAGCACTTCAGATTGCCCAGGTTTTCAATCTCCACGCCTCGGTGCTGGTTGCCCTGACAATTGGTACAGGAATCAGGCTTGACAAGCCAATCATTCACACTATAAGACTCTTGGAACACCTGAAACAAGAGCTTAAATCTCTCACTGGTTGCACAGCTGCCATTCCCAGGCTTCTCCAGCTTTTGGGGTTCCTGGGGAGTCGCCAGCCAATCAGAAAGATCCATCTCATCTTGATCAAGCAGCTCCAGATTCTCATCCTTTTCAGTATCAATGGAGTAAGAACTGGTGGTAGAATCACTGCTACCCTTTTGATAACTTGGTTTTTCAGGAACTTCTTGATGCTGACTCTTGTGGAGCCAGTTTTCCAAGTCCTTTAGGTTGCCCCAGACATTACTGAAGAAATTGCAGGCTCGGGCAGAAGTCTACACAAAAAGTACACAATATCAGTTCACCAGAACATGACTGCTTTGGGATTCATGACAAAAAGTGTTCTATTTGGCTATTCATCACATTGTCCAGTGTTTCTAAATTTAAGTATACAAAGCCAAGAGACAAGGGATTTCTGTTGCAATAATAAAATACATATTTTAGGTACATAAAAAGATAATTTTCTATTTAAAAAAACTGAAAAGTACAGGCAAACCAGGGGAAAGCATTTGTAGCAAGACAGAAAAGTTCTAACATAATATGCCTTTATGAATAAAAAAGATAAAAATAAGCAAAAGATACTAAGCAAATCATAAAACAGGCAAATAAACTTTCAATTTCCTTAATAAATTCAAAACAAAATTGTTAACTTTTTGTCAAATTTGGGAGGGGGTTACAAATGGCAACCCATGGTTGCCATTTGAGAAGTTTCTGTGAAGCAAGTACACTCAGTACTCTGCTGGTAGGAATAGAAATTGGTATCAGTTTCCAGGAAAGCCAAATTGGCATTATGTATCTAAAACTGCAATCTACTAATGTAATTTCTAGGAATTTAATCCTAAGGAACTAATAAAGAATGTACAGAAATATTAGCTCCTGAATATTTAGAGAAACTTTGTTTATATCCAGAAAAACTGGAGATTAAGTTACAACCAATCAATAATACACTACACTCTTAAAGATTTTATGGAAGAAATTATATGACAAGAGAAGTATATTCACCCTCTATTAGGGAAAAAAATCTAACCAAAAAAGGATGATTTTTTTAAAGTATATGTATGGACACAAAAATGAAGTACATAAATACAAAGCTAGAGTGACTATCTCTGAATGTTGGGATTATGGGTTGGTATTTCCTTATACAACTGTTTTCTAAACTTTCTATCCATGGTAAAGAGGTGTCATATTGTTACTAAAAATACGTATCTCCAGAACAGAACTAAAAACTAAACAAAAACATACTGTGTATTAGCAACTAACCCAATCTACTTCTACATCTACCTCAGAAACAATAAAGCAGCAACACACCTGATTATTCTCCAAGGTATGCTTTTGAGTGAGCCAGTCCTGCAGATTGGTGCTGGGTGTGTAAGAAGTCTGATGACCACTGGCAGGTTTGCTTCCAAGGAGCCATTCACTGAGAGGGACAGCTATGGTGCTAGATGCTGACTTCTGCTTAATCACATAACACTTTGCTACTTAACAAGGCAATGTCAAGTGCAGAAAAAAGTTCACCAGAAAAGCAGGAGACCCAAGCTCTCTAATCTTAGCTGGCCACTAACACTTCTTCACATATTATGACTTCCCTAAGCCTCCATTTTCACAATTGTAAAACAAGGAGTAGCTGAGCTCTGGGATTCTTCTCAACTCAAAATATCTAGAAACCAATATTCCAACTGCCTTTAGAAGTAAACCATCCCTATGAATTATAAAGGAAAGGATTCCCAAGAGAAAACCAATATAATCGGAGAGCTGATAACAATTTCTTATGAACTAATAGATAACAGTAAGTTTCTCTCTTACTCAACATCTATAAAACCTCCAAATTTCTGACATTCAGTCTCAAGGAAAGCATTTAACTGTAAAAACTAACTCATTTACTACTGGTGCCTGTTTACAAATATAGTACAGCAGGGGGAAAAAAAGTGATTTAGTCAAAATCCAAAAGAAATACTAGCCAAGTAATAACTCAATTATCAGAAACAAAAGTATATTTTACCTGCTCTGGCAATGGCATATTGCCTCTTTTCTCCATGAAGGGCCCAATATTTGATGAACTAGCATGAGCCATCAAATGCTCAGGAATTTGCTATAAAATAAAAACAAAATAATCGTGTTTATCATTGTTATACTTTTATACCAAAAAAGTGAAATTGTAATTCCTAAATTTCAAAACTATTAATTAAGCAAAGCATTACTCTTTCTATAAATATTCTTAATACTAAATGCAATGACCTACAAAGAAGTTATCAAATCAGAGAATTTTCTATCTACTGTGTAACTCTCATCACACAAGAAATTTTACCAGAATTGGTAGTATTACTAATTTTAACAAGACCCAAATGAGACGAAATTTGGTTCTTTATATTAAAGACCATTCAAACCATAAATTTTATAAGAAATATATCAAAGGTATTTAAAGAGTTATAAGATGAATTCTTGAGATTATCCATGAATCATACCACATTTCCAAGAACTACCAGCTGTAATGCTCTATCGACTTAATCAGAACATGAAATTCTGAAGTTCCCCAAATTCTCTAGAAAACCACTATTCATCTTAAAAACGTGTTTTGAAGACCATATGTGAGGCCACAGACCTGAGGAGCACATTCTATCAACCATCTGAGATCAACAATACTCACAATGGTCTTGAGGGACCCAAAAGTTGTGATGGCCTGGCGCAGAGCAGTTGTGTCTGCTTCAAAAAGTAGAACAGTTGAATCTTCAGGTTTCAGGGTCAAACTTCCCAGTCTGGAGAAAAAAAATAAATAAAACTTAGCTATTTTTAAGGAATATCTATTTCAACTTCATCCAAAACAAAAGCCAAATTGTGATTGGAAGTGACTGTACTTTGCTAAGACTCTCAACCAAAGGTAGATGACTTAACCATGTACCATGTACAATATTAAAACTAGGAAGCAAGATGATCTTATCACAGAAACAGCAAAGTCGAGTGAAATCCAACCCCTGCAATGAATCACGGAACTGACTTTATTTTTAATACACCAAAGTCAAAAAGCCAAAAAATCAAAACAAGCAAAAAAGTCTTTACCTCTCCAGGCACAGAGAGACTTGATTGGCTAGATCTTTGTTTTGGGTGCATTCCAGTTGACGAATAAGACAATTGAACTGGCCCAGTAACTATAAGAAAAATGAAACCATCTAGCCACATGATACTAAAAGTACCAAGTGTATCCATGTTAACAAACAGCACCTAAAATTAAACTTCTGTCTGATGTATATTAAGGTTACAATGCAGGAAAGACATTCCCTAGAAACCAGAAACCATACTCAAACCAACTATAGCCTTGCAGCCATCTTACCCAGTAGAGCTGTTGGGCCTGCTGCTGAAGTGTCTCCTCTTTAAGCTGATAGATGAGATCTACCTGTTCATACAACCATACCTCACGGCTTCGAAGGCATTCCAAGTGACGGCTTATGCAGCTGTGAATCTGAGCTTTGATCTAGGAAACACATATATATTAGCTTCACTAGTATTTATAAGGCCAAAGAATATATTTCCCACAGAACAGTGAAGTTCTTAAACTTTTGAGACTCACAAATCCTTTTGGCTATCTAATGACATCTGTAGAAAATCTCCTCCGAAAAATGCATATACTCAAAACTGTGCCTATAATTTCTGGGTTTAGTGTGCCAAAGGCCCAAGGACCCAGTTTAAGAATTCCAGTCATAAAGGCATACCCTATGCTCTAAAATCATCTTACCATACTTCTAAGAGGATCAGGTTTACTTTGAGTATCCTAAAGAGATCAAGAGAAAATACAAGGATATATCAGGTAATGCTGATCCCCCTCACTTTTTTACTTTATCTCTTTCTCACCCCACAAATGAGCAATCCATTTACAGTAGGTCACTTTAATAAAGAGATGTGTCACTGCATGTCAATAACCAGAGACCACTACGGTAGACAATTTAAGTAAAATTACAAACTAAATACCTGGAAGCATAAACAGCGATTCAAAGAGGGGTAAATATAAAACTCCTTCCCTGGCTGGCTGGCGTAGCTCTGTGGATTGAGCGCGGCCTGGGAACTAAAGTGTCCCAGGTTCGATTCCCAGCCAGGGTACATTCCTGGGTTGCAGGCCATAACCCCCAGCAACCGCACATTGATGTGTCTTTGTCTCTCTCTCCCTCTCTCCCTCTCTCCCTCTCTCCCTCTCCCTCTCCCTCCCTCCCTCTCTCCCTCTCTCTCTCTCTCTCTCTCTCTCTCCCTCTCTCTCTCTCTCTCTCTCCCCCCCCACTTCCCTCTCTAAAAATAAATAAATGAAATCTTTAAAACAAAAAAAGATGCTTAGTTTAAAAAAAAAAAAAAACTCCTAAGGAAAAAAAATCAACAGCTAAAAATTTCCCATGAGAACCTGCATTTAAAAAAAAAACTTCTATAACACATTTTTCTATATATATTGTATTTTTTGGACTATAAGACGCACTCCCCCCAAACTTGGGAGGAAGGGGGGTGCGTCTTATAGTCCAAATGTAGCCTTACATTTACAACGGTAAAATATTATATTATTTATGTTATTAAATATTTTACATTTTTTTGCTTCAAAATTTCTTTTCCTATTTTCCTCCTCTAAAACCTAGGTGCGTCTTATGGTCCAAAAAAAATGCAGTGATGTAGTTTTATTTCAAAGTCATGTAATACTACTTGGTCTACCCACTTACAGACAGAATACTATTAAGCCAACAGAACAAACATTGGACCAAACAGTCCATGTGGTTTTTTTCCATAAAATAAGAGATGCATTTTTCATTTTCACCAATAACTTTGATTTGGATATTTTGAGTATGTCGGCTGTCTCCTGCATGGTATAATGTAGACTGTTATCAATTAATGTCTCAATCTGATCACTATCAACTTCAACTGGTCTACCTGGCCATGAAGCATAGTCCAGCAAGAAATCTCCATCACAAAACTTCGCAAACCACTTTTGACATGTTCCATCAGTAACAGCACCTTCTCCATATACTGCAAACTCTTTTTTGTGTTTCAGTTGCATTTTTATCTTTCTTGAAATAATAAAGCATAATATGCTGAAAATGTTGCATATTTTCTTTCATCTTCAGTATTAAAATGGCTACATAAAAATCCACCAATTTTGATTTTTTTTTTTAAATGAAAAAAGCCACCAAGTGAAAAAGATGGTAGGGGACAGGATGCAGTGCCATCATTTATGCCAAGGATACAGATGAGCAGTACAAGTATACTGCTCATTCATTTTATTTTATTGATGGCAGTGCTTGGGACAGGGACCACCACACCAAAGAGCAATAAAAAATGCATACTGAACTAATTCTCTTAAGGTGGTACAAGGTTTTCCAGACTCTTGTAACATCTGCTTTATTTACCTTTAAAATCAAAGACATCAACATTTCAGGTAGACCATGTGAAACATGGGGTGAAACTTCGTGGTTGGCACTGAGAAGCCAAGTCCTTGGCCATGCTCTAACCATCCCTGTCCTAAGGGTCCAGACATGGCAAGAGAAAAGAGCACACATCATACCTCTCGCAAGTTATCTTTAATTTGCTGTTCAGCCCGGAGAACTCCACCAATAGCAAGCTCCAAGTCCCTCTGTGCATCGCAACACCTCAAAAGGGGTTCTCTCTTATTGGAGCCATTCTGGTCCTGTGAGATACTCATTCTGCTCACCGTTCCTTTAAAAGAAAACAAAAAAAATAACAATCCAAATTGCACCATAATTCCAACGCAAAACCACCTTTCAATCATCTCCTAAATGATCACTCCAACCAGCTCCTATTTACTTAGATTACTTCCAACACAGGACCTGGCACATAATACACTCTTAATAAACAATGCCTCCTCTCCTGCCCACCACTATTGTGTTCCTGCCATAAAATCCTATGCATCTACTTTAGTGAAACTTTTACATTTGAACAGATATTTCCGAAAAAATATACCAATTTTTTTAATCAATAGTTGAAAGTTAAAAGAACATTAGAGTTCAAGTTTCTAGTTATAATACATAAAGTCACAAGGGGCATATGTTCTTGTTTCACAGATTTAGAGGTCAAGACTAAAATGTCTAGAAAGATCCATAATTACTTTGAAAAAAAGCTGCAAAAGAAAAAGCTTGATAAACAATTCAGAACACTGTTTAGATCTGGCATTTACCTAAATTTGTTGAGAGGACAGAATTTTTATTATCTCTTTTCTTTTTTATTTTTAAAATTTAGGAGCAACTTAGGGATGGTTTCATAGCTAGGAAGCTCTCAAGAACATAAATCTTCCCTGGTTGGTGTGGCTCAGTGGACTGAGCACCGTTGCAAACAGAAATGTTGCCAGTTCAATTCCCAGTCAGGGAAGGAACATGCCTGGGGTTGCCAGCCAGGTCCCCAGTTGGGGATGGATCAGAGGACGTCTATTGATGTTTCTCTCCCCTCTCCATTCTCCTCTCTCTAAAAAAATAAATAAATCTTTAAAGGGTGTGCTTCTACAAAGCCATTCGAAGAAAAACAAAATAAAGACTTTTGCATTGAATTTTGACATATAGAATGTACTTATATAAATTAGTGCAAGTTCTCTAATAAGCTTAGGTTTATAAGAGGTAAGAAATATAAGTGGAAAGAATAACACATAACGAATGATATGAGACATAGACAGAAGAGTGCCAGAAATGCAATGAAGCAAAGCTTGACAGAAGCCACTGGTGTCTATCCTGGAGAGATCTAGAATCAAAGATGTTTTTTTAAACACTTAAAGAAAGCAGTGATCACTGTAGCCCAGCATGGGTTCAATAAGCCCCAGGACACTGAAGTTATTTCCATCTTGGATAGTTTTTCTACATTGGCTAGTCAATGTAATGTTGTAGATATGATATATCTAGACAAAAATAAGACCTGTGACAAGACTATCTTTGTGCTAATATGCTATCTTTGTGGACAAAGTGAATATGGGCTAAGTAGAAACAATTAAATCATAAGGTAATTTTTGTACAAGGTACTGAAAGGATAATGGACTGAAGCCAGTCTGTAAAGATTTTAGAGGTATGTCCCTGTTTTCCCCAATTACTTAACTGTTTTCCCTAATGACTTGGATGAAAACATAGGAGGCAGACATTTAAGTTAGAGATAAGGGTGGGGGGGCTATGAAAGAAAGAGATCCCAAAAACAATTTCCACAAAGCTGTTAATCTTATAAAACAAAAGGTAAGTATTTTGAATTTGAATGGCGGTGGGGACAAGGTACAAGAGAATAAATATTTAAAAGGATGGAGATTTTTAACTGAAAGTGAGCCCTATATAAGGTAGCAGTGCCCTGGATCTGAGGGGAAAATAACCTACATGCTATTTGACTCAATTCATCAAATGTATAATGCTTGTCACAGAACTAATCTGGTCCATGTTTATTGGGCTATATTTGAAATTTCTTTCTGAGTAACATACTTTAGAAGAAAGATGCCTCAAAACCACGAAAAATTTCTCCAGAAGGAAAGCTGTTTACCCTTGATAAGAGAAGTCTCTTCTCAAATATTTGGAGATACAGCAAAGAATTAAGCATGTTCAGAATAACCCAAGTAGGGGAAAGAGGAGGATTAATAGGAGACACCTGAGGCAATATATGAAAGAACTTCCCAACAGTCTTGAAGGCAGTGACCTCAGAGAAGCCAGCTTTGAATTGAACAGCAGGCTGCCCAATGTAGTCCTTGAAATGGCTGACTGCTCCTCTGAAACAAAGGAAGAAACTTTGGCTTAAACTGCATCTTCAGGCCTAGCTTTAGGGCCAGGTGGCTAGCTAGAATCAGGAAAGGGACAACTGTGTGATTCTCACCCTCAAAACAGTGAGGGGAAGAAGCCCAATAGGCTTTCGTTTGATCACCTCAACAAAAGATTCACATTCAAGAACTATAGACTTCCTATATGAAACCGAAAGATTCAGCAAACTTTCTAACTTTCCCTTGTTATTTTGTTACCTTAGTCTGTTGCCCCATGATTTGACAGGAATTCCTGCAATATTTCCAACCCTTGAAATACCAGCTGTACCTATTTTGCCTCCTTATTTGTCATACTGTAAGCTGCCCTGTTTTAAGTATAGGTATTAGCATACATGTGGCACACACTGTAGGGATTCTGGAAAATGCCTGCATAACACAAGCGAAATACTAGCTCAGATTTAGAGAGCTGTAGTGTCCCACAGTACCACAAACTGCTGCATTATGCACTTAGGTTAGGTATATGCAAGGTATGTTCAGTGGTCTTTCAAATGCATTAGCCAATTGTCACCTGTGTCAAATTTCGTTCTCTTAGGTCCTCACCATTTATGTGAAACACCACAATGTCTGGCACAGTGCAAAATTTAATCAATAAAATTACGTTAACATGTTGTTTCATAACGTCAAAAATAAAAACAAACCCAGAGCTCTAGATCACATGGGAGACAAATTAAAATGCATATAGTGCTGACGGTATTATTAGATCCCTAAAGTTTCTTGATTCAATCACAAGCACCACACAACTCCCTAATAAGACTAGAATATGGCAATTTTAAAGTACACAAATTAGATTTTTCTTTTATCACTTGTTACAAAACTATTTTCCCCCACATACTTACCAAGTTTTCAAATTAAAATGGGTATTATTCTTCAAAACAGTCATCTTGTTAGAATAAGGTCTTTAGAGTCCATTTGTCAGCCACTAAGAAAACTTGTTTCTTTACCACCAGTCCCAGGGTGCCTGTCCCTTTGCTGCTCTTAGCTCTGCCCCTCCTCCTTATGGGGCAGTCAGCTTCCACAGCCCAGATCCCAAATGGGAGCTGTGTACTGCTTGTCATATTGTGAGGAAGACGACCTCGGAGCTGAAATCAAGAACCCCTCTACACGGGTGAATTCCAGTAAGAATTAGGTGAAGCGTGAGCTAGTTTTATGAAATGCCACCTCCAAAGAGAACGGTCTGAGGTACCTAGTTGACATAGCCATTTTCAATAATGCACCATTTGTCTCAGGTTCCAATGCCAGTGTAGCAAGCCTAATAATTAAGAGATAACTCTGGGAGACTTGACAAAACAGAATTCCAGCTGCATTTGCAATCCTGAGAACTAATGAACTTTATTTACCATATTTTGCCATGTATAATGTGCAATTTTTGCCCAAATTTTTGAGGGAAGATAAGGATGCACATTATACATGGGTAGTGCCTAAAATACTTTGTATCTGTTCTTGTTTTGTAATTGTTTGTTACACAAAGTTTCTAGTACCAGAACATGTTCAAAAATAAATCTTAAAATTTCTTTATAATACAAAAAAACAAGTATCTAAATACAAATAAATAACTGAATTTGAAAATTAAAATGAAAGATTTCTTTTCCTGAAAGTTTGGGCCAAAAACATGGATGCACATTATACACCAGAGTATACATTATACATGGCAAAATACGGCACCTTTTCTGGCCTCAATTTCCTCTGGGGTAAAAAATGGAGAAAATGATAGTAGGTACAAAGGGCTGCAGTGAAATTAAAGTGAGACATTATCTGCCTAAAAGCACTTAATCCAGCCCCTGCACACTGCATTTTTTAATACCACATTTATTGTTACTATGTTTACCTGAATTACAAGAATCAGGAACTTCCTTCCACCTTTGGACTACAGAAAACAGCACTGATGCTAGAAAAGGCCTGACTTATACATTTAGCCATTTATTAACTCAACAGTCTGAACTAAGTATGCACGCTTTTGCTTGTTTTCTAACCTGTAAAAAGACTAACCAAATCAGCTCTAATTCTAAAATTCAAATCAATGAAAAACTACTAAAAATGTCTTTTATATTCACCTTTATAATCCAAACTACTGTCCTTTCACCTTCCAAAGTGGATTACCTTAAATATATTTTTCAAAATGATGTTAAAAGATTAAGCAATTTCTTAAAACGTCCCTGCCTCTAGGATTCCTGTCCTAGGCTTTAGGGAGTAGGAAGAAGGTGGGAGAAACACACATACCTTTCAAACAAGTTTTCCAGGTTTTCCTGGAGCTTTCCTCAAAGAGGACTTTACAAACTATATATGTCATATTTGCGCAATGTTTTGCACAAATCTAGTTATCAAGTCTTAAAATCATAGAACCAGAATTAAGCAACTAACCACAAAAGGAGTGAAGTCATTATCATATGGTTTAACCATAAAATTTCCAGAGTTATGACCCACTAGCAACTGACATAAACCACGATTTGAGGTTGGAAAAACCAGTGCTATTTCCTTAGTATATACTGTAATTTTATAGATGAAGGCACACAAAGGCCCAGATAGTTTAAATTACCCATTGGAAGGGCCACAGCCATTCAAGGGAGATTTGGATCAAGTCCTAGATTCTCTCTCTCTGGCCAACTTGTTCTTCCTTTGATGTTTTACCACCCATAAATTATTTTTACTTACCAATACTAAAATTTAAAATTAGCATTCCAATTACCATTCAAACAGTCACATTTTGGGGTACTACTGTAATAACTTCCATTAAGATTCTCAGTCCATTTTCATAACCCTAAATAAATTATGACAATTTTTCAGAACCTTCTTCCTTAGATCATGCTAACAAAATAAAGTGCACCTTTGCATGTCAGAATAATCAAAACAGTGCCAAATACCAGTGCTAAGTATGAAGGACAGAACAAGAGCCCTGCCTTGATTCTGATCACCTATATCACTCAGTTCCATTTGTCTGCCTGAATGAAGACTCCGATGAGATCATCTCTATCTACAGCTTCCCACTCTGTCCCACTTCCCTCCTATCCTTCCTCTCCCCCTCCCCCCACAAAACGCCCACTTTCAACTTATTTTCCTGGCATCTGAATCATTGCTAAAAGCCCAAGCCCTCAAAACACAATCTACAAGATACCTATTGTTCTGTGGATTACTAAATTTGAAAAACTGCCAATTTGGTTATCTTTGATGAGGCAAAATTAAGTTTACAGTTGTGAATACCCGAAAATTTATTCTTATATTACTTATTAATTATTGTATTGTTCATTTGTATTACAAATGTAAACCTACTTCTTCCCACCATGTATCTAACCATATATACAAATTTTCAGGAAAAAAAATTGTAAAATAAAAGTTAATATTCCACATTCAATTTTACCATGAGCCATTTTTCACCTCAGAGGTTCCTTCACTTAAAAAAAATAAAGGTTTCTTTGTACCACAATCATTAACTCAAGGGTTACATATATCTTATCCTGGCCCCAGCCCACTTTAATCCTTTACTAAAACAAGTTGTTTCTGAAATTCAGGATCTAATTATCCCTAATTTTTTTAAAGATTTCATTTCTTTATTAACAGGGGAAGGGAGGGAGAAAGAGAGAGAGAAACATCAGTGTGCGGTTGCCTCTGGCGCTCCCCCCCAGGACATGGTCTGCAATCCAGGCATGCGCCAGGACCGGGAACTGAACCAGCGAGCACTCTATTCGGAGGCCCTCGATTCTGAGGCCGGCGCTCAATCCAGTGAACCACAAGAGCCAGGGCTAATTATCTGTAATTTTTTTTAAACCATGCAAATAATTAATGCTTTAAACAAAATAAGCTAATAAATTCACAGGAGCATATTTTAAGGTTAACACTTCAGAGGATTACTGCGCTCAGATTTGTCTATCTGTATAAAAGTAACTATGAGCAATCAATTCCAGCTAATCAACTTTCCGGAACAGTGGCTGAAAACTGACCACAAAATTGGTCTTTAACATCTAGTGCCAACTAAGGCTTACCTAGTTCAAAAGCAACAGTGACTCACGTAACTTTCACCTGTTCCCCAGCACTTTCTTAAGAGCCACAGTCTCTCTACGAAGCTTTCGGTCCTACGCTCTGTAGCAGCCACTCAGACGCTCGGCTTCCGAAATGGCGCGGTCACCGCTCAGCACGCATGCGCGCAGCTGCGTCCGCAGGACCCCGAAAGGCCAGCCAACCCCAATGGTTCTTGTATCTATCCTGAGCCGCCAAACGTACCTCAAAGGCCAGGTCTCCACAGCCTGAGCAGCCCCTGAAGCACAACGCTAGGGAAAGGTCTCCGTGCCGAGGATTACCCCCTAACGCCCCTCACGAGCCTGGCGGTGGCAACACGCAACCAGAAGTGCGCATGTCATCGTGGGGGCAAAGGGCCCGCCCACTCCGCTGGCCCTTCCGCCCCCTAGGCAGCGGGACGCTCCTACCCGCAGTATCCAGCAAGGCTCCGGAGTGGCTGCAACAATGCCCAAACTCGCAGCTAGGCGCCTCCATCCCCCGCCTACCCGCTCAGCTCAGTACGTGGCGAGTTCGCAGAGCCCCGGGATGCGTCTCCAGCATCTGTCCTGTCTACTTGCTCCAGCGTTTAGTGTGGGTCCACCAAACCCTCCGCGCCCAAATTGTCAAGACGTTTATGACTTAAGGATTTTTCTGCTAATCACTACAGAGAAATAACAAACGTGGGACAGTTAGAAGCTTACCGAAGTATTACTGGAATGTTCCTGGGTGATGGTTTGTGACTACCTGAGATTATCACCATTAGTCCAGCTGGGGTTCAGCCCTCAGCTTTTGTTTCGGGCTGTCAGACATACCACATCTTTGACACACCTCTGCCAGTAACCCCCGACCCCCTCCAACCCACCCCCTGGGTCTCTGTGCTTGGTTCCTTGTCTCTCTCATACACACACACTCCCACGCACGGCCTGAGTCCAGCGCTGTTTTAACACTCATGGGTACTTTTCATTAAACCAGGGGTGTCAAACTCATTTTCACTGGGGGCCACATCTGCCTCGCCCTTGCCTTCAAAGGGCCAAATGTAATTCCAACTCCTTAACAGTTAAGTAGTAGTTACATTATACAGTCCCTAAAATTATTTTGGCCCTTTGAAGGCAAGGGCGGGGGAGATGTGGCCACCAGTGAAAATGATTTTGACACCACTGCATTAAACAAAAGTTGACTGAGCATCTTCCAGATGCCAAGCACTATTCTAGGTGATGTGACTCCAGAAGTGAAATTGAGAGCCCTACTTGGAGAGGCAATAAAATACACAGTAATTAATAATAAGATGTCCCCATTTGGGTACAAAACCTGGCTCTGTCACTTAGATGCTGTGTAACCTTAGGCAAGTTACTTAACCAACCTGTGCCTCAGTTTCCCATCTGTAAAATGGAGACAGTAATAATGAAACAAACTCAATGAGATTTACATGAGTTAATATGTATAAAATTGTTAGAACAGTGCCTGGCACACATTAGTACTTTCTGTCTGATATTATCATGTTCATGGTACTCCAATCAGGCCAGAGACAAAATCTACACAGCAATGCCATTCCCTTTCAATTAATTTTTTAAACGGAAAGTACTTGCTTTTGTCTATGCACATGAAGCTATTTTTGTAAATAGTTAAGAGTAAAGCAAAACAACATAACCAAAAAAGGAAACACTAAAGACCATCATCCTCAATTAAGCATCCCTCAAATTTCAGATGAACAGAGTTAGTTTAGGAGCCTACTTTACCTGTGATGCACAGCTTCTTGACTCCCATTTCAGGCATTCAGTACCAAAAAAAATGAGACAACAATTTCTTAATTCAAAATACATTCATTAGGTAACATTTTGTGAAGATACAAAAAGAGAAAAGAAAAACTAGTCATACCTCTGAATGATGAAAAGTTAAAAATTTATGGGCCTTTGTACTTTTAGTCAATGGCTGGAAAGGAGGAACTTTTAGCTTATTAATATAAAATACAGCCCTGGCTGGTGTAGCTCAGTGGATTGAGCACAGGCTGCAACCCAAAGTATCACAGGTTCGATTCCCAGTCAGGGCACATGCCTGGGTTGCAGGCCACGGCCCCCAGCAACTGGACATTGATGTTTCTCTCTCTCTCTTTCTCCCTCCCTTCCCTTTAGATTAATTTTTATTAATCTAAAAAAGATTAATAAAAATTAAAAATCTTAAAAAAATAACAGATATTGCAAGATTTAATATATATATATATATAAAATACAGTTGATACCAACAACTTTCATCTCTCTTTAGTGTGCCCCCATAAAATAGTCACAATGCTGACCATCACCTCATAACCAATGGGTCTCATGCCCTTTCTAAGATGACCAATGCTTCCACAGACTAAATGCTCCAGCTCTCCCTCACTTGAATTTCCACTGTTACACAATTACTGACAGTCGGTGTTTACTCTTTCAGCTTAAGCCAGCTTTAGCTGTTACTACAATATAATAATGTGATGTGCTTTTTTAAATTTTATATTAGCATAAAAGGACTGGGAAAAAATCTATTAGAATGCTGCCTTCAGGCTATTTTGCAGGCACATCTTTACCCCCTTAAGCTGCATTATTTGTCCTTACATCTTTGTAAAATGTTTAGGTGCTAAAGGAGAGATTCATAAAGCATATTACTCTTCTGCTTCAAGATTTCTACAGCTCATTTCCTAGTAGATCAACTCATCTAGAGAGAGCACAAACTTTAACTCTTCAATGGCTTCCCACTTAAAAGATAAAGTCCAAATATCTTATAAGGCAATAAAATTCTCTATATTCTGGCTTCAGCCTGACTCTCCTGCAGTTCCCCCTGAGCAGCCCCCACACCAAAAAAGATCCACCAGACAACTTGTTCCATGCAGAGTCCATGCTGGCTCACCCTGTCCAGCTTGGCTCTCCCACTCTCTGCCAGCAATGCTAGTTCCTTCCTATCCACTTTTCTGACTATGCTTAAGTCACAGTCATTACTAAACCCTTCCTGACCAAGCACCCCATTCCTCAAAAGTTTTGACCAATAGAGTTAGCTGATGCTTCTTCTGGGCCCACTGTAATCTGTACAGGTTTCCAGCATGACACCTTTAACATGTTAGTTACCCTTATTGATACATGCCTGCCTCCTTAGCCTGAGAGCTCTCCAGGAGAAGAGACTGTGTCTTACTTGGCTTTGTACATCCTAATGCTGAACAGATGGCCTGGTATCAGCATCTTGGCATTACCAATACCCTCCACATCCTGTGTGCACTATTGAATTGATGGAAAAAGAATGCTGTCCCTGGAATTGTGCAATGTCGTGGCCCTAAACTGAACAGAGGCTTAATACATGTTTAATAAATGGATGGGTGGATGAATAAATGATAAATGCTTAAATTCAGACCAGTCACAATAAGTATAGTATAGTTCTGCTTTAAACAGTCAACTCTGTGTCCCACTAAGGCACGGGTGGCAAGCACAAGGCCCAAGGGCCAAATGTGTCCCTCCACCTTGTTTCTACCCGGCAGGAGTGCTGAGCTCTCGCTAAACTGTTAAGGAGTAGTTACATTTACACAGTCCTAAAATTACATTCGGCCCTGTGAAGACAACCACAAGGCGGACGAGGCCTCTGGTGAAAATGAGTTTGACACTTCTACATGAGGAAAGCCTTCATTAGTTCAGGAAGTTTTTTCAGAAGTGGAAGTGTTTCTAACTATTGCTTTTAGTTTTCTTTCAGACAAGATAAAACTGGCAAGGGTACTGCCACTGAAACCATGATCCCAGGATAGACGCTAAGATAAAGTGTCTTTTCTGATGCCAGACCCATCAAAGCTTAGCTAAACAGATCCACAAGCACCAGCAGGTTTGTCAGTTAAAGGGGAAACATTACTGTATTTACATCCATCTCTGGATTTTTTTTTCCTCAGATGTTGCAGTGCCACAGAGATTCCAGCTGACATCACAGAAGTTTGGTAGGCTTTTAGAACTGGGGTTGTGCCCTAACTTCAATTTGAAACTTCTCATGTTATTTATCTATCATCGCAGTAATAATACCACTTTATTCATGATTTTACACAGTAAGCATCTTGTGGTTTTTCCCCACATAAGTAAACATGTGATAAAATAATTTCCTTCCTCTAAAGCTTGGGGGACTACCAACGATCCAAAAATAAAACTCAATGTAAATCCAAGATTACGTTCTCATGAAATCTATAATCATCCAAGTATTAAAAGACTTAACTTCTCATCTATGACCATATAGACAAGCAAAAAGTTTAACCTGCCCTTGCTGGTGGCTCAGCGGATTAATCACCAGCCTGTGAACCAAAGGGTTGCTGGTTCTATTTCCAGTCAGCCCACATGCCTGGGTTGCAGGGCCAGGTCCCTGGTAAGGGCACTGAGACGCAACCACACACTGATGTTTCTCTCCCACTCTTTCTCCCTCCCTTCCACTCTCTCTAAAAATAAGTAAAATCTTAAAAAAAAAGTTTAACCTAACTTGTCAGTTATTCACTCCTTCAATGAACCAAACTGCCACATTTAGTTATTATGATTTTATGTATTCATTCAACAAATATTTATTGAGTGCCTAAGCTGACATATACTGTGACAGTCCCTGAGGACATAATGGTGAACTTGCCATCTAGAGCCACGATTTTCTATTGTTGTGCCTTAGCACACTGGTGTGCCGCAAGAATTTTTAAAATATGCAATACCTGACTATTTAGTCAGGGGCACTGACCTCTTTTCCCTTAGATTGTCAAATAAAAAAAATTTTTAAAAGACAACAGCCAACACAACAATAGCCATCCAGTGTGAATTAATCAAAATTATACTTATTTGTCAGATAAGCATAAAATATATTTTTTGGTGTGCCATAGAATTTTAGTAATTAGTTTATGTGTGCTATGAGATTGAAAAAGATTGAAAATCACTGATCTAGATAATCTGTCTTACTGATTCACCAAAAACTAAGCAGAAAATACTAATTACATGAAATAAGAGACTAAGATTTAAAACTCCATCAACAGCGGTAAGTGGCTCCGAATGTCTTCCAGTATGCTCACAGTTACTCTATGGGTAAATTATAAAACACTAGCCAATAGGTTCTCAAATGGGAGGAAGGATATGTGTCAAAATATCCTGTTCAATTTTATGAAGTCCCTACACAGG